GACCCCCCCTTCCCTCCCCTTCCCCTCCCTTCCCCTTCCCCTTCCCCTTCCCCTTCCCCTTCCCCTTCCCCTCCTGCTTGTTTCCTTCTCTCTTTTCATCCTTTTCCTTCTCCTTCTCGCTTTCTCTTGATCATTTTTCCACCCCTTCCTCTACTCCAGTGCCTGTCTGCATCCGCTCTGTTTATCCCGCTGAAGTCTTTCTTCTACGCCATCTCCTTTCATCAATCTGTCATACATCATTGCATCCGTTTGTTTTTCTTCAGTCTAGCTCATTCATCACCACTCTAGCACACATCAATCGGTTTACTGAATCGTGTTCCATTTCTTAGCTCTCAAGGTACCAAAGAACAACATCGTTGACACAAAATCTGCAAGAAGCTTGTACTTTCAACAAACAGATGAGCTTCAGGGACGTAGACGACTTTGTGTTGCAAGACCCTTCCTCCACCGACGTTGGTCCCTTGTTCGATGTCTTCTATAACGAGCAGGACAAGAGTGTCCCCAGTGAGCGCGAGTCAAACCTCGCCCCCGTCGATGTGAAACCGGACCTCCAAGGTCAGAAGATGGCAGGGATTTCCTCTCAAAGTCCGCCCGTCACTCCGGACTGCAAGCTATTCGTTGCAGCTCTCAAGGAGGAGGACAGCTCCCAACAGACTCCGAGCTGCGGAAGCAAGAGGAAGGTGGTCTTCCCTACTCTGTCGACCTCGTTCGACGACATGATGAGTGACTTGGCCGAGCCCGAGGGCTTTCTGTGCTTGCCTCCTGCAGCCCCCGGAAGCAAACGGCCGAAAACCGAGCAAGCTGAGCTGAAGCTGAAGCCGATCTGCATGGCTCGTGCGTCTGAGAGCAAGAGCGAAAGCTTTCTGCATGTGGCGAGCGAGAAAAAAGAAAAGGAGGACGACTTCATCTTGGAGATCAAGAAGGAAGTCAGTGAGGATACCTTGTTGTTCTTGGAGATGCTCAATGATGATACGCCGCCACTCTGTCATGATGGGCAAGAGACTCTTGAGGAGGGGCAAGGTGCCGTCAACGATGAGGGCCAGGACAGCAGCGGCGAGAGCCAACAGCAGCCTTCGCCTCCACCCTTGCAACCTGTGGATGGGCAGAAACGAGCCCGACAGGGGCAGGAGCGATGGGCGATGAAGGCCAAGGAGCTGCGAGAGGAGTGGAACGCCAAGATCCATAGAGCTCCCCTCTCTACCAAGGCAGTCTTCGAGGAGCAGCTGCAGGCTTGCAAGGACTTGAGGCTCAAGTCGCAGAAAGAAGCTTTCCTCTACTTCCTGCAGCTGCTCATGCTAGACAACGTGGTCACCCCCTTCGATTTCATCGGCTACCACAGCCTTCACTTCATTTCCAGCTGCTCTTTCAATGGCTGGAGAGGCTTCAATGTCAACCCGCAGTTCCACCTGGAGTTCAAGAGGAGACTCTACGGTCTGTTCGATGGTGGGGAGGTGAAGAAGAACACTTGGCAGAATCTCTTCAGGAACAGCGGCCTCATCCCCGACGCATGTCAGGGCCACTGGGAGGAGGCGCTCATGGGACGGCTGTCCTTCACCTTCACTTTTCCCCGGAGCGAACGCAGAGCGGACTAGAGGCTGGAGGGGAGAGGGCGAGAGGAAGCTGTGAGAGGCGGTGGAAGAGGTGAGAGAGGAGGAGCAACTACAGAAGGGGAAGGAACAGAAATAGCAGCAGCAGCAGAGGAGGAGGAGGAGGAGGAGGAGGAGGAGGAGGAGGAGGAGGAGGAGGAGGAGGAGGGCAGAATAGTTTTAAGAGCAATTCATTTCTCCTGCGACAGGGGTAAATGGGGGCATCAAAGCGCCCAAGCGTGTAACAATGATGTAAAAGAATAAATTGAGTGTGAGAAATTGAAGTGCCGAAATGTGATAAGAGACGATGAGAGGGAGAGAGAAGGAGGAACGAGGGTTTTTCGACCGAGGAATTCTGTCAGGGAGGGAGGGAGGGGGGAGGGAGGGCGGGAGGGAGGAGCAAGAGAAGGGGCGGGAGGGACTTGGGAAGGGAAGGGAGGGAGAAGGGTAGCAAGGTGAAGTTCATCTCCTCTTCTTGGAGCTCGAGCCTCCTCCTTGGCATCGTCAAACAAGCAGGAGAGAAATGAAACAATGCTCACCTTTTGCTGGAGAATGAACCTTCTTCCTTGAAAAGTAGTCCTCCTCCTCCTCCTCCTCCTCCTCCTCCTCCTCCTCATAGTCCTCCTCATCGCCCGGCTGACGCCTCACGTCCACCTCGTCCTCCTCCTCTCCACCTTCGCCTGCACCTGCGTCTCCGCCCCATCTTTCTCTGCCCCTGTCCTCTCCCAATTCCAAATCGTTTTCGTCTTCATCTTTGTCTTCTCCTGACATTTTCATCGCCATCTCTGACAACTGAGCCGAAGAGCATCAGGATGAAGGAAAGGAGAGGAGGAGGGGCAGGGGGCCGGGGGAGAGAGGGAAGGGGTAGAAAGAGAAGGATCGGAGGCAGAGAAGGAGTGAGACGAAGGGAAGAATGCGGAGGGGAAGAAGGAGGTAAAACAACAGGGGCAATGGTGTTGAACGTCTAGGAGGAGGAGGAGGAGGAGGAGGAGGAGGAGGAGGATGAGAAGCAGCGGAATTTACCTCCGAAAGTCTGCTTTGAGAGCTAGCCCGGTTCGCATCGGGGCTTACGGCGACCTGCTTGTACTGGGAGAGGTCGAGCTCGTCCTCTGCTGCCCCCCAGCAGCGTCAAGAACAGGGGAGAGGCGCAAAGTGTTCGCACCGATTATGGAGACGATCTTGCAGCTCCCCGGCCTCCACCTTAGCGAGTTCTTCTCACCTGACCCCCAGCTGTTAAAATGCAACTGCTCTGCTCCAGCTGGGGCTGACCTAACTCAGCTATGGCCTTCTGGAAGCAGGCGGCAAGGAACTCGCCGTCCCGGCAGCTTCCAACATCCTAGAAGAAGGAGAGGAGAGGAGACAAGGAGAGCAAGAGTGAGATAGAGGAGATGAGTGAGAAAGAGAGGAAGAGGACGAGGACGAGGAGAGGAGGACGAGGAGGAGGAAGCGAGGAGGAGGTGGTGGTGGAGGGGGGGGAGGAGAACCTTTGTGCTCCGGAAGTCAATCTGTATAATGTGCTGCAAGAGCTCGGAATGCCGCTTTCTTTCCTCGATTGCGTCCTCTTCCTCGTCATCTTCCTCGTCCTCATACTCGTCCTCCATGTCCTCTCTCTCCGACGCCTCTTTCCGCGTCAAGACAGTTGCCTTGATCTGTAGAGTCTCTTAGGTGTTTCATCCCTCCGCCTCCTCCCACTTGTTCTAATTGTCTACCTCAGCCTTTCCTGCTCCTGCTCCTGCTCCTGCTCCTGCTCCTGCTCCTGCTCCTGCTCCTGCTCCTGCTCCTGCTCCTGCTCCTCCCACTACCTTCACCACCTCCTCCCCCGCCCCCTACACAACCACCACCACCACCTTCTCCTCCTCCTCCCCTTCCTCTTCCTTCCCCCTCCTCTTCCTTGTGCAGCTTTCCCTCTTCTCTTCCTTCTCTTCCCCTGCTGCATCCCACCTGATCCCATCGCACAACTTCGTTCTTGGAGAGGCATCGAGCAATGTCTTTCCTCGTCAACTGCGAAGGTCTCAGAAGCTCGGGACCAGCTGGGGAGGTCGAAGGATTGGAGGTGGAGGTGGGAAGGCAGGCAGACCTCTGCAAACGCAGCCCAACGCTCTCGAGCAAGCGGGTCATCTGATCGCAAGTGTGAGTGAGATGCAGAGGATACAAGCGACGATGGTGATGGTAATGGTGGTGGTGATGGTGATGGTGGTGACGTTGTTGATATAATGATGATGATGATGATGATGATGATGATGATGATGATGATGATGATGATGATGATGGATCTCACTGTGCTGGTCATTGTTACTCGACGGTCTGTTTGCCATCATCTGCAGTGTGCTGATCCAGATCTCGAACTCCTCGGAATCTGGAGAGAGTGAGAGCAGAAGGAGGGAGAGGGAGGGCAAGGAAAGAAAATGAGGCAGACGCAGGGAGGAGGGAAGGAGGAAGAGTAAAAGGGAGTGCGAGCAGAGGAGGAGAGGGAGGCAGAGAAGGAGAGGAGATCGAGTGAGAGGGAGGAGACAGAATGGTTCAGATTAGCACCAGCTGCTGCTAGGCGAATAACGTCCTTCCCCTGCGAGACTATCAGAGACAGGCAGGAAACTTCTAGTCGTCAAACTGCTCTCCTACTCTTTTCTCCTGCCCTCCCCTGCTGCGATTAGTTTGTTTGTTGTTGTATTCATTCGCTACCACCTCCATGCTCTTCAGTCTCCTGCCCTCGCCTTCACATCTTCCTCCTCTTTTTATCTTGTTTTTCTTTCGCCCTCCTCTTCTCTACCATGAACTGTCTCCTTCCTTCTCTCTCTCTACCATGAACTGTCTCCTTCCTTCTCTGTTCTCTTCCTCCCCTACTCCCTTCTCTCCCCTGCCCTCTCCTCCTTCTCTCTCCTTCTCTCTTTCTCTCATCTCCTCCGCTGCTGTCCTCTCCCCTCCTTTCCTCTCCTGTCTCCTCCTCCCCTCTCCTCTCTCCTCTCCTCTCCCTCACCGTTTTGATCGCAAGCACGTTCGATCGATTCGTCTCTGAGAAGGGGCATGCCCAGACCTTCACGCAGCATCACCTCCCGAACATTCCCAGCTCTTCCCCAGCTCTCTCTTCTCTTCTTGTCAGCACAGTCACCTTGCAATGGTTGAGGTCGACAGTGCCTGGAGGTGGAAAAACGTCAGAGAAAGAGACAAAGAAAGAGCGAAACAGAAGAGAACAGGAGGACGTAGAGGGTTTGGTTGCAAGAGGAAGAGAAGGAGGAGGAGGAGGAAGAGGAGAAGAAGGAGGAGAAAGAGATGGAGGAGGAGGAGGAGGAGAAGGAGGAGGAGGAGGAGGAGAAGGAGGAGGAGGATGACTTACCCAGCGCTGCGTGTGAATCGCCTCCTTCAGAGTCATCGGGTTTGGCAAACCAAAACCTGACAAAGCGAAAGCAATTAAACAAAAGAGAACGGTAGGAGCAGAAGAACATATGATGATGATGGTGGTGGTGGTGGTGGTGGTGGTGGTGCAGAGAAGGTTGAGGTGTTGATGGTGGAAATGATAAAGTGAGAGAGGGAGGGAGGAGGGAGGAAGGAAGGAGTGAGGAGTGAGGAAGGAAGGACTGAGGCTGAAAGGAGGATGAGGATATGATGGAAGAGGGTTGTTGGCTCACAGTTTGAACCGGACGGGGTCAATCTCAAAGTAGAATTGCGAGAGCGAAGCTGAGAACTTCACGAGGGTCAGCTGGGAAGCAGGTTGGGGGAGCTTACCTTGGATTTGTTGGACTTCTTGCTCTTTCCTAGCGCCTTGCTCTTAATCTTCGCCCACAAGCCCTTCTGTTCCTTTTCTCAGCTTCTGCTTTGCTTCCTCTTCTTCCTCCTCCTTCTCTCCCTCCCTTCTCACCTTCTTCTTCTGCAGCGTTTGTCCTTCCATCTGATCGGCCTGGTCGCCAGGAACGCTGAAGCTTGCTTCTGTTATGAGAAAGGATGAGGAAAAATAATGGAATACAAATGCAGGATGATAGGTGTATCAGAAAGAGGAGGAGGAGGAGGAGGAGGAGGAGGAGGAGGAGGAGGAGGCGGAAACGGGTGGCAGTCCTCGTCGTATCACCTCTGCTCCTATCAGTGGATGAGGCCATCAGCAGCCAACCATGAAGTCTGTCAAGTTTCAGCTCAGCTGGGGTAGGTGGTGGAAGTCAGCTGACCTCGGGTAGATGTCCATTTTGAGTGAGCAGAAGATCGTTTGCTTGTTGGACCTGATGTCCTGAAGGAGCGCGTGAGGGAGGGAGAGGGAGAGGGAGAGGGAGAGGGAGAGGGAGAGGGAGAGGGAGAGGGAGAGGGAGAGGGAGAGGGAGAGGGAGAGGGAGAGGGAGAGGGAGAGGGAAAGATGGGGAGTGGGCTGTAAGGGAGGGAGATGGAAAGGGGCAACAAGGAGGTCGAAGGGGCGTGCGAACTCACGAGTTGCTCCGGAGGAGGAAAGATAACTTCCTCTACCTCATGCGGGAATGTCGCAACGCCCCTGTTGCAACATGAGCGAGCGAATAGATGCGAAGTCACGAAAGAAACGAACAGAAGACAAGAAGAGGAGAGGAGAGGAGAGGAGAGGAGAGGAGTTGAAGACAAAAACAAGAAACAAAAACCAGGGAAGGCGGTTGTAGGTGGGAGGGGAAGAAGAAGAAAGGAAACGAGCAGAGAAACAAGTAGCGAGGAAAGTTGAGAGTTGTGAGGGATCTTACGTGTTTGTAATCTGACTTTCGCTCTTCCTCGTCTTCATCTTCTCACTCCGCACGTTGTCTCTTCTCTCTTCTTCATCCTGTCTCGTCCTCTCCGCGCTCTGCTTCTCAAGCTCTGTATGCCCATCTCGATGACTGCCAGAAGGCCGTCGGGCAATCAGAAGAGAGGAGGAAAAGAGAGGAGAATGAAGAGCAGCAAAGAAGAGATAAGGAGAGAGCCAAGGAGAAGGACGACGAGGAAGAGGAGGGAGAGGAGAGGGAGAGAGCAGTGAGAGGAGGAGGAGAGGAAGGCAGAGAAGGAGGAAGCTGGAGCTGGAGCTGGAGCTGGAGCTGGAGCTGGAGCACAGGGATGCACAAATAGGAGGAGAGGTGAAAGCTTTCGTGTTACCTGTGATGAATGTTTCGCGCCTGATCAACAGCATCTGCTGTAGGAAAATTGAGAACAAAAGAAGGGAAGGAGGAGCAGATGGAGCGAAAAATAAGGGAAACAAACGAGTGAGCAGGACTGATTTAAGTGATGATCGGACAAAAAGAAGGAGAGGAGGAGGAGGGTAATGAGGAAGAGTGAAGTGAAAGAAGGAGGACGGGAAGGAGGAAGAGTGAAGTGAAAGAACAAAGGAGAGGAGAAGATCGAGAGGTGACGTCATCACACCATTCTCCTGCAGAGGATCAGGCAGAAGTTTCTTCGTCCCGACCATGACAAGCTCGTTGCCCCCAGGGTTCAGCATGACTGGCTTGTGACTTGCCGTCGAGTCCCTCCTGCTCCCTTTCTTCCCCAGCGGCAGCTCTGCCCTGCTGAAGGGACCCCGCAGGTTGAGCAGGCGGTTCGTGATCACTCCGCTCATCAGGGTGCTCTCCTGGTCCTCAGCCTGACCACCCGTCACCGTCACCAACCTCCTACCCCTCCACAGACTCCTCTTCATCAGCCTCCTCTTCCTTTCTCTCTCTGGATCTTCCTCCTTTCTCTTCCTCCTCCCCCTCCATCTCAGCTTCCTCCTCCTCCGCTTCCTCCTCCCCTGTTCCTGTTCCTGTTCCTGTTCCTCGTCTCTGCTGCCCTTCATTCTTGTCGCACCTGATACACAAGCTCCTCCCACAGCTCAGCCGTCGATCGGTTGTCTTCGTGGTTGGGACAAGGAGAGATCGAAAGAGTTGCGATGACACTGCGAGGAAGATGAGACATGACAAACGCAGAAGGGAGTGAGAAAAGAAGGGGAGAGGGAAGAGAAGAACATGAGAAGGAGAGAGAGGAGAGAGGCAGTTGACGGTGGGGAGGAAAGAAAGGGAGGAGACGTTGGTGCTGGGGGGGTCAGGGAAGACAGGAAAGAGAATGGAGATGAGTAGAACTGAGAGGGAAGCCGAGAAAGGAGGAGGAGGAGGAGGAGGAGAGCAACAAAGAAAAAGAAGAAACAAAAGGAGCAAGAGCAGTAGCAGTAGCAGTAGCGGTAGCAGTAGCAGGACAAGGAGGAGCAGGAGCAGGAGCAGGAGCAGGAGCAGGAGCAGGAGCAGGAGCAGGAGCAGGAAGAACCTGCCCGCGGCGATCTCGAGCACATGAAGTCGGTCAGGATGAATCGTTAGCGCCTGTAGAAGCGTCATTGAGAGCAACGAGGAGGAAAATTAAGAGAAGAAGCAAGGGGGCGATCAGGAGCAGTAACTGAACAAAACAAGGAACAGAAAGAGAGGAGGAGGCTGTGGTTGTTGTGGAGGAGGCGGAGTTGCTGCAGAAGGAAGAGGACGGGAACAGGAGTACAAGGAGGAGAAGGAGAAGAAGGAGAAGGAGAAGGAGAAGAAGGAGAAGGAGAAGGAGAAGAATCTTCAAGTAACCTCAGCCATGTCAAGTTTGAGTTCACTGCAAAATTCATCCATGACGCTCACTTGGGACAAGTCGGAGTAACTGCAATGCAATTTAGAGACTTTTGATTTCACCTCCTCCTCCCCCCCCCTCCCCTCCACCTCCTCCTCGTCTCTCGCCATCTCTTCCCCTTCCCTCCCCTAATGGCCTCGTCCTTACTTGTAGTCCAGCACTAGCTGCACGCAGAGGTCTTCCTCCCTCCCCACGGGTGAGCGCAGCATCTCCCTCCTCTCCTCTCCCTGCTCCTGTAGCCTCCCGTTGGGTCTCTCGTGCGCATGATCCGCTGCTGGAGGAGGAAGGAGAGCGTGCGGCTGCGCCGTGCGCTCCTCCTCGGTTGGAGATCGCAAGTCTTGCCGAGCCACGGGATGGATGGGGAGGAAAGAGGAGGGAGGAGGAGGAGAGTCGGAGACTGGAGGGGCAGGAGAGGTTGTGGAGGAGACCATGCCGTCCAGGTTGGCGAGGAATCCTGACTTGTCCCTGTCGACGCCAAGAAGCCAAAGAAGAAAATTAGAACAAGGAGCAAAAGGGTCGAGGAGAGAACAGTGATGAGGCGATAGGAAGCAAGACGATGGTCAAAACATCGTCGAGGTCGAAGGAAGACGAAGAGGGGGCAGAAGAAGGAGCATGAGAAGGAGCAGGAGGAAACGTTCATACCTCTCCACTCTTTCTACAGGGGGGTCGATGGAGGGTGTGGGGCTGGAAGAAGGGGAGATGGCTCGATCGAGCATGCTGTAATTGTAATCCTCAGTCACGTCGTTGCCCTCCTGCTGCCTCTGCACAGCCTGACGGGAGACGGCGATGAGCTGCTGGCGGAAGTGAAAGTCTTGATTATCGAGAGTGAGGGAATGAAATCTGCCCGTCTTGTCCGGCGTCTCCAGCCTGAGGCTGTTGTCGAGGGGATGGTAACTGCGCCAGATCTCTCTTGGTGGTGACTGCGACGATCATGAGCGAGGGAGAGGAGAAGATGTGGGGAGAGAGGGAGGAAGGGATAGAGGACGATGCGGGAGATGAAGTGGAAGAGCAAGAGCAAGAGCAAGAGCAAGCGCAAGAGCAAGAGCAAGAGCAAGAGCAAGAGCAAGCGCAAGAGCAAGAGCAAGAGCAAGCGCAAGAGCAAGAGCAAGAGCAAGAGCAAGAGCAAGAGCAAGAGCAAGAGCAAGAGCAAGAGCAAGAGCAAGAGCAAGAGCAAGGAAATGAGTGTTGAAGAGGGAGGAATGTGGACAAAAGGACCTCGCATGATAAAAACCAAACAAACTAGGGACCGATGACAAAGAAAACTGAGGGATTGAGGAGAAGAGTTATTGTTATATCTTACCTCTGCATGAAGATTTTCGTTGTTCATCTCTGATCGTCTCATGTTCTCATCAAACTCTCGTCTTGAGGGCCTCTCCTCTCCAACATGCCGTTTCATCTTGTTGCTCTCAATGAAGATCTTCTTCATGATTAGCTTGAACTTCTCGAACGGAAGAATGTCGCTATCATCTTGAGTCGCACGTCTGCCAATCGCAATCAGAAGACTTTCTTCCAACAGAAATCAAAATTCTGACGCGCAGGAGATCACAGAGCAACAAGAGCAAGGCTTGAAACACGGAAAGCATGGATCTAAAGGTACCTGAATCGGTGAAGCGCTTCTTCCTTGGATATGATGGAAGGAATCTGCACAGATGTATCAGGGAGAAGCCTTGAACAGAAAACATGCACTGTACAATATTCTTTCTCTCCAGCAATTTCAGGAAATGTTTTTCCTTCAGCGGTTTCCCGTTCGTCCTCGCAGTGTTTTCTCGCTCCTCCCTCCTCCTCTCGCTACTCGCCTGCTAACCATTCATCATCGCTGTCGGGGCAGAAGCAGCTCACCGTCAGGTCTCGCGCATGTGCTTCAAGGTGCGTGTGCTTGCGATGGCTGACAGAAATTGTCGGAGAGTGTAGGAGAAGCAAGCAAATGATGAACCTTGAGTCGACCGGGTGCTGCGCATTCTGCTTGTCCGGCATGCCAGCTTCGTTCCTGTCGTTCTTGTCTCGTATGTCTCTGTCAGACTTGTGGAATCGACTGTTGAAGTCCGCGAGGATGCCTTGAATACAAATCTCCATCTCCTCTCTTGTCATCGCCTCCTCGTTCTCTTGCACCTCCTTCACCCCCTCCCGAAAACTTTTCGTCCTCATCCTCAGCGCATGGATGAAGTGCGATGTTGCTTGGGATGGACTGATCAACGTTGGGATGAGGTTGCGGGTTGATAATTCGCCGAGAAAGTCCGACAGAGTGAAGAGACGAGCTGAAGCGACTGGTCACCAAATGTCATGTTATGCTGTGTTGAAAACTTTCTTTGCAGCTTACCAGCTTCATTCTTATGTCTTGCTTTTTCAGGTGACATCCCGTCTGTCATCAAAATGCCTTCTATCAGCACAAATCTTGCATTTGATTTTTCTTTGCCTTTGATCTTTGCGCCGGTGTCAGGACTTGAATAAGATACCGAAGCGTCATTCTCCTAGCACAAGGTTGGAACACACAATGAAAACAATCGAACTCAACCTTTTGATGCGTTGTGTGCGGCCTCTTGTTCACAATTCTTGCTTGGAGGATCGCAGCTGTAACGGGTTGCCTGAAGCTGGCAAACGCGTAAGACATGAATTCAACAGGTCACCATATTACATGGAGCTATCCTTGTTGTTTGCAAGTGACAACAGCTCATATGCCTGCAAACTGTCAAGACTCAATCAAATCCTTTGGTGTTAACATCACCAGCCGATCGCTGCTCACACTTCGAGATGTTTTCTACAACATTTGTCAGCCATGCAAAGGCAAGCAACCACGAGCAGCGCACATCTTCATAGACAGTGACGATGACCACCGCTTTCTGCTTGATACTATCCCGCTGCCTTACTTTGATTCTGCCTTGCGGAACATTCAAGACTTTTGTGATGTCCAGAAGGATCTGGATGGGCCAGTCTGGCGGCAGCTTTCGGGGCTCCAGCACAAGGAGTACATGCGAGGATGCCGCAGCTGCTCCTCCTGGTGGAGAGCTTGCGCTCTCACTCCTGTGACCGTCGGCAGGGCGACGAGACTGAAGTTGCTCCGATGTCATGAGGGACATGCCGCTAGATACAGGGATCAAGCAGCTGAGCCCAGCGAGCAAGGATTTAACAAGAAGACTGTTGTGGACTGCCGCATGCTATGGAGAATGAGTTCTTCTCTCAGCTTCAGCACGCTGTCTCCTAGCTGAACACCGGGGTGAACCCTGCTCAATATGATCTCCAAGCTCCTTTCATCAGCGTGTCTCTTGCCTGCTCCTCTCCACCCCTTCCATGTCTCTCCTCTCTTCTCTTTTCCTCTCCTCTCCTCTCCTCTCCTCTCCTCTCCTCTCTCTTATTCTCTCCAATTTCTCCTCTCTTCTCCTCTCTCCCCTCATCTTCCTCTCTTCACTCGCTCCCCTCGCCACGCATTTCCATCCGCGCCTCGCCGCATGCCAGAGATATCCACCCTACCCCACCCATACTGAACTGGACTACCCCTCATACCAAGACCCCACCCATTACGCCCTCGATCTCTACCACATGTCTAGCTAGAGAATTTGAATCAGCCTCACTACCCCTACCCCACCCGTTCTAATCCAAACTACCTTGACCCGAGCCTCTCGTCCGATTGGCCGGGCGGGGCCCGGGGTTGTAGTACCCCAGACTACCCCCCGGGTCGGATTCCAAATTACCACCCCACCCCTCAAACAGATGATGTCCGCCTCGCTCAAGCTCCGATGACTCGCGGCTTCGCTGGCCGGGGGGGTTTGACAAGCGTCAAATTCAACCGTCCAACTTCCTCCCGCCCGGAGGCGAGCGCGGCCCGGCCGGGGGGCGGGGGGGCGGCTCCGGGCGGGGCCGAGTAGCCCACACCGTCACTGCCGAAGCAGCCTACTACTGACTAGCGGCCAACGTAACGGTCTCAGCCTCAGCCGAGACGTTAGTGACTATAAACGGTCGGAACCCGCCGCAGTCGGGCCGCCGGGCAAACCGTTCACGGTTCACGGCGGGTTTGAACGGTTCACCAAGCGGCCCTCAGGGCCTAGCCCGCCGGCCTGCGCAGTGCCAGCCTGCCCCAGGCAGCTTCCGATCTCACGGCCGCAAGTCAGCCGCTGCCCCGGCCGCGGCCCGGTACTGCAGCACAGTGCGCTTCTCTATCTGGGCCATAAGAAGCTTAAACAGATCGTCCGGCCCAGTGCGGCCTCACTGACCGACACGGCCAGTGATCCGGGACGACGGCCAGCCTCCCTGCGCACCGCGACTCAATGATTGCGGCACATGAGAGTCTTGCTGCACGACCCCGAAGGCCCCGGTGCCGCAGTGCAGGCGCCGCTGCTTCTAGACCCAGTGACTGGCAGCTCCTCCTTCCTCGCTCTCCAAGCCGCCTCCGCCACGAGTCCGACACTGACTGCCATGGCCCCACTGACTCGGACCCGTGACTCCGGTGACCCGCCGCCCGCCGAGTCCATCCGAGTCGCGGCCGGTCGCCGCGGAACCTCCTCCTCCGATGGGCCGCGCCGAACGTCCGGCTAGGGGTGCTCAAGTCCCGGAGTCCGACTGCGTATGCTGGAGGGCGTGATTACGTTAGAATAAACCATGTTGCTCTCATCCTTCAACCGTCCTAAGTTGTCCGCAAGAGGCCCTGAGAGGGTCTGAGAGTTTGTCCTGCCTGCCTCCCGAGCCCGGCACTGAACGCCGGGTCTCCCGGATCGGACCGTCACTGAGTCACGCCAGGCTTAGGCCCTCCGTGCCCGGCCGGGTGACCCGCGCAGGCCCGGCTGCCCACAAGCCGTGAGGGGCTCAGGGCCCGGAGCCCCATGAGGGTCAGCGGACTCGAAACGGCGCAGCCTCGATTTATCCCAGCCAGCCCGCACTGGATCCATCGCGTTCTATTTACCCGAGACAAGACACACATCTTTACACACATTTCCGGTCACGGCTCCTATGCCATGAAGGGCACACGGCCCGCGCGCAGTGCGTCACGGCCTTTCCAGGGGTGAGAATTTTCTAGATGCTGACAAGTAGATGTCACCAGCCGTTGCGTTTTAGGCCCAACTCCCTTCCCAGGCCCCCCCCCCCTCCCTATAAAGGCTTCCTTCCCCCGATCGAGCTCCCACTGCCTTGTGCCCTCTGCCTTGACCACAGCCCTGCTGCCTGCCTTGTGCCATCGACCAGCTCTAAGCCTCTCTTGCGGCAAGTGACCCTCTCCCCCTCCGACTGCTCATCTCCCTCCCCCGCTTCACACCATGACCTGTGCGCACATCTTGCTGCACGACCCCGAGACCCTGCAGGCGCCTGCCTCCAGACCTCAGCGCCTTCCCGACGGTCCTCTTGGACGGCCAGCTATCTCACGGGACGGCCGCGTCCTGCCTGGCAGCTCCTCCTTCCTCGCTCTCCAAGCCTCCGCCACCGCCATTGGCACCCGCTCCATCGACGCGCGAGGCAACTTTGTCCTCAAGCCGGACGTTCGCCCATCGGAGGAGGAGGAGATGATCATGGCCGAGACGACAGAGGCGGCGAGCCGGAAGCTCAAGTCGCTGCGTATGCTGGAGGGCGTGATTACGTTAGAATAAACCATGTTGCTCTCATCCTTCAACCGTCCTAAGTTGTCCGCAAGAGGCCCTGAGAGGGTCTGAGAGTTTGTCCTGCCTGCCTCCCGAGCCCGGCACTGAACGCCGGGTCTCCCGGATCGGACCGTCACTGAGTCACGCCAGGCTTAGGGTCGCCTAACGCGAGAGCAGATTGGCAACAAAATCCTGGAATATTTCAGACCCTGAAATTTATTTGAAAAATACAACAATTTAGTTTGAATCCGTTTTTAGAGTGTAAATTGCTATTTTTGTCATCGTTTGTGTTCAAATTCCCAGCAATCTCCATCATCGCACACATGGCGGATGCGAACGAAAGTTGAGACACAGCGTGTGCTGATTGTTTGGTTCCTCTTGCTCCGAGCGCATATATGCAAACTTTTCCTCTATTATACATGTTGGTTGTCTCCCGATGACACAGGGAGGGAGCCGGGGGGGGGCTGAAGGAAACGAGATTCTGGAATACAACTTTGTGTTGGCTGAGAGTGCTTTCTACTGTCATGGAGGCTAGTGGACCCGTTCTTTAGGAAACTTGCTATTGAAAGTACCAAAGAATGCTCAGGCTGGCAAGAAACGAACTGCGGCAAAGGAGATGGAGGCAAGGAAGGAAGGAGGGGTGGCATCGTTGGAAAAAAAAGGGCGGATACTAGCGACCTGGGGTGGAAGGTGAGAAGGAATCCATATGTAAAGAGTTTGGTTTCAAAGATTCGAAAGCCTCTTAGTTTAAAGAGGTTTTACCCATGTATACCTGTCAAATCTTCCTCTGCATGTTGAGAGAGCTCGCCTTCCAGTGGCATTATGGGCGATTCTATAGGTCATTTTGATAAATGTTCATGCCCTTTGAGACGCTTTAACATGCACGAAGACTGCCATCCATCGTCGTAGTCGTCTTCAGATCATTCCTCCTCCCATTCATCATGATCCTCGCATCATGTCGCTTGCTGCATGTCCATCGGTGCCTAGGGGAAATGCAATCTGAAGATTGCTTTTCGTCTGAAAAGATTTTGTTTATAATTCACTTTTAATAGAAATCCATGGAAGATTTCAAATCGCCCGAGATGTGTTGACTAAAATTAGTACCAGGAAAATTGGATTTTG